GTCAGTTTTATTCTTATGCTTATTATCATCTAACTTGAGACCATTTTGGTAACCTCACATCATTTATCTTGCGCATTATCCAGGCACCCCAAAATTAAGTAGACTTTGCTCCAATAATCTTAATAAGATACTCCCTTTGTCCCTTGGGAGCAGGTTTAAATCCCAGATGTGGTCACAATTGCGGTAATGGATTCAGAACTACTTTTGCAGGAAATCCGGGTGGTATCTGGCAGTTGTGGCCTATTATCATGGTCGCAATAAGCCCACAATCCTTTACAATCTGGTCGTGATGTAGTTGATGAGGATAATATTCACTACAATGCTTTGCAATGAGGATAATATTGCAGTGATGAGTAACCATACTCAGTTTTTCAAAATGTCAAGGTAATGACTAAATATGAATAAAATGAAAATTTGTCTCCTATGTAAAGTTACTTTGGAATGCAGAATTTCTTACAAATAATGTTAGAGACAAATACAGGGCAAGAAGGGAAAAACAATAATAAAGTCTGAAACTAGAAAATATAAGGAACAAATTGTTACAATATATTCAAACAATAGTGATCATTATCCAAGTGACGAAGATTATAGATACTAAAAACAGCGGATACTATACTTCCTCCGTTCTAAAATATTGCACCATGTTGACTTATACACTATTCACATGCTCTCCTTTGACTATCATTGTGTTTTATATGTAATGAATAATATAGTCATGCTATATCAACATATTAACAATCAAAGTTGTGCGTTGGAAAGCGTTAAAGTCAACATGGTGCAATATTTGTGGAACGCAAAAGGTATTTTAAACAAAAAATGCCCTACCATTGTAAAAATACTTGCATGGAAAACACAATTTTCATCAAACATTGATGGATACCTTTGTCTCTTGTAAACAGCCATTCAAATGTGTTTCGAACTTTCAATGTTTAGCTTTAGAGTTGCACAACTTGGACCTCTTTGAACCTAGGGGAATCTATACCCGCTACCCACGTGTGATAGTTGCTTCTTAATGTCATTTGGCCCTTTCTCCTCCTACTTTTAGGGGTGTAAATGAGGCAAGATGAGCTAAGCACTTTAGCTTAGGCATGTCTGAACAAAGCTCATAATTTTATTCAAGCTTGATTTGTTTAGGAGGTAATAATGCTAGCAAAAGACACATTTATAAATCAAGCCATGTTCATAAACAAGTTTTATTATAAAGTAGCTTTTTCCTATATACAAGCTTTTCATAAATACAAGTTTTGTGCTTTTGACAATTGAAAAGTTCCAAATAAAGCATAATTATGAAATCCTAATTACAAAGTCTTTATTTGATTAATTAACTGATAATAATTACGAATACTTAACAGCATATACTTGTACAAATCAAGCTTTGAACTTTTCTTATGTACGGGATTCTACATAAAATAAATAAACGAGCTTGTTTATGAACATAAATAAACAAGTTGCTCGTGAACTTATGTGAACAAGTAAATCTATGTTCATATTCAAGTTCATTTGATGAACAAGCTGTTAAATTTGTTCAAACTCAGCTCATTATCAAATATAATGAAATTTTGCCGAGCTAGAGCCCAAGCCCTGGTTGTTTATTGAGAGTCTCTGCTTGTTTAAATTACTAAACATATTTTAAAACAAGGGTGAACTTGTTAACAACTACAATAAAAGAGTATCTAGCAAGACCACACTCAAGATAAACTGTGAGTGCATAGCAATATGAAGATAGTGGATACAAGAGAAAAGCAATCATAGCCCTATATTAGCCCAAAAAACAGAACAATGTGTACATCGATGCAACTATCCTAATCTTTACTTAGGTAAGCGGGAAGTTATCACTGAATGGTTGAGATGTCAAGAATCAACTTACAGAATGAGCAAACTTGGTGAAGTGCTGTCACCCCTTTGTCAGTTCGCCCAGCAACAACTACAATCCCTTCAACTGGTAAACCCTTTTTTTTCCTCTGTTGAGCCTTCCTTTCATCCACAAATATCCCAATGGACCTCTCCACCGGTCTGTTTTGAGTAGAGAAGGTAACCAAATGAGAAAGGAGGTGGGTTGGACAAGGGAAGCCAAATATTTTATCCGAAAAAATTATCAAATAACGTTCTTGAATCTAATGTATACATAGTCTGAAACTAAATGCAGAGAGAAAGAGATCAGTCAACCAATCTGCTCATGCAAAGCAGGGAAGAGCTGATTCTCAAGACCGAAAATTTGCATGATGTAAGAAATAATTAGATATCACATTCAACTGAAGGAGAGGATCACATATTCACATTCCAAAATTTCCAAAATTCACCATGTATTCAAACTTTATTAGACATGAGATCTAGAATTCAACAACCAACACAAATGACACATTCCTTCATTGTCTGGGTCTCAGTTAAAATAAGCAGTACAGAAACGCCAATATCTAATCCATCTAGAAATTAAAGTCACTTCTTCCTACATGCAGTTTGCTTCTCTTCTTCCTTTTTTTTTCCAATCGGACCTTAGTAACTCATAATTTCTGAGAAACTTTTGTCAACCTAATATATTTGTTTATAGAACATAGAAATTCCAAAGTAAAAACCAAGCATTCTAGAAAAAATTATACCACCGAAAATGAAGTCAACTAGATATCAGAGTTACCGGAGACATAGGTAGGCTTTAAAATTTGAGACAGATTGAATAAAAAGAGTATATACATGAGAAGTCTGAGACATAAAATGAAGAAAGGACAAATCTAACAAATAATAAAGCCTCTTTAAGGCCGAGGGAGCTGATCTAATGCCAGAAGAAATAGAGAAAAAAAAAATCTGTGAATAAAATAATGCAACACATTCATATTTATGAGAGTCCTGACAAAGTAACAGAAACATACTTCTGAACAGTGTTTAACCCAGGCTGCTTCTGCCAACCATCAAAGAACTCCCCATGATAGGACACTACTATCTTATAAGTCACTCTCGCCCATCGTCCAGACTGATCATCAGGGAGATTATTCTCCGGAGCATATTCATCCACAATGTCATCCACATCCTGGTCATGATACAACAAACATATATTAAACATGAGTACAAAAATAATTAGGAGACTTCTGAAACACTTGCCTAAAACTGTATCATCATATTACAGCAAGTGACATCAACAATCAGTGCAAGCAACAAAACCAGAAGAAAAATCAACACGAGCCATGATTATGAATGTGGAAGGCCCAGCTACTGATGGTAATGGATGCGAATGAGAATACAAGGCTTGTGCTTAAGTAATTAACTACAAGTTTGAGGTTATCATGGCATAAGTTGAGCAAAAAAGTCCTAACGTATTGGAGGTTGGTGAAGTTTCACCACTTGGGAAGTTGATGGTAATAAAACATCATCCGCAAACATATGTTTTTCTACACTAATTTTTATATACTACCCAAGACCACCTCTAAAGTGGTGGTGTATAGTAGCAAAAACTTATGGGGAAAAAATAGACATTTGGAGGTGAATCAGCTAAAGCATTAACATGGACATTGACATGAGACTTTCCTTAAACTATTACCATATAAATTTATTTCCAATACCACTATACATTACTGCCTAGTGGCTACCATACAAGCCATTATACATATATTGAAAATGGTTAGTGAGTGAAATGAACTCAAACTCATAGTTTCGACTCTTATAGTTTTGTTATATGGGTAAGTTGATGACATAACTATTTACAAACATAAAGCTCCTCAACACAAAATAATGCTCACAAATTGTACATCAACACCAAGAACCCCCTAGTGGCTCTCTATAAACCAAAACACACACACACACTCAAATTTCACCATTCCTATAATATGAAGTTTGAGAAGTTCGCAGTTCCATTCTCCTACATGAAGATATTGTAAAGTACAGTCGCCCAACGACCGAAAAATTCACAATCAAGTTCAAAAATTGAATCAAATACATAACCAGCAAAATTAATTTAACCATAAACGACCAACCTTATGTCCAAATAACTCTGCCAAAGAAGAACGCCCATTCACCAAATCCAAATAATAATCGTTTACTGATTTCCATGGCTTTGAGTATAGAAACTGGTAACACTCCCTACAAAATTAAACAAGGCAACTATAATTCAACAAAACCCACAAAAAATAGCAAAAGATTAATGAAACCCAGATGACAAATTCAGATTTTTACAAACAATTTGAAGTAATATTGCAAAATCAACAACATAATCATAAAAAAGAGCAGCAAATAAAATTGGGTTAGTTGGAAATAGGGAAGAAAGGGGTTACCTGGCTGTCCATCGCAAGTCCTTGCAAGGGTCAGTGTGAGTATAGTGATGGTGGACTTTATTCTCAGCATCAGTCGCCATTTTTAAGCTTCGAGCCTGAACCCAATATTGAGGTTTCAGGCTTTTAGCAATGGCGATTTTGAGCATGTCGCATAATTACACTTTTAAAGTGACTACTACTAGGAACGTTGGCCGCCAAAGAGGATTGAAAGGGGTTGAAACTTGAAAGTGGGCGAACTCGAACATTGATTGACTTGATCTAAGAGCATCATTATTGGTGAACACAAAAAATGGTTCATGGGTCACTATTACCATTTCTCTCTCATCCACCTCAACCCAACAAACCATTTACAATATTCACTCTTAACAATGAACACTAAACAATGGTTCATCATCAATACTCCCTACCCCACCTTATTTTATTTTTGTAAATATAATCTTTTTTGTTTCATAATTATAATTTTTTAACCCGATGTCAATGTAATTAATTGACGTATTTAATATTTTAATCGTGATTACTAATTAAGAAATTATCGCATTTTTTTATCATCTTTTTAAAAAACTAATTCTTGTGATTAATATTTTTTAAACAACAACGCAGCTAATTTTAATTAACAAAAAAAAAAGAGGTACAAATTGTGATTACAGTTCTACAACTATAATCTAGTACATTTTATTTAAAAAAAAAACAACTACACATCGTTTTGTAAGATGTCCTTAGGGATAACCATTTGTTGTAAACCTAGTTGCCTAAGTTTTCGTTGTTACCAAATTTATTCCATATATGTTCGACCAAGTCGTTTTTTAGCTGCAAATGAGTCTGTTGATCCTCAATCTCTATTCTACGAGACAAGTATAAGCCGATATCCACAATACGATCAGTACGGTACTCGGTAGTGTCCTCATTAGCGTTGCCTCCAGCATTCATAAACTCATTGGTATTAACGTTATTTTGATACGTCTCTCGTTCATCTTCAACGATCATATTATGTATTATGATGCAGGCGAGCATGATATTGTGGAGTATGTCGGTATCCCACGCCAAAGACAGCTTTTTAATAATGGCAAAACGAGCTTGAAGGACCCCAAATGCGCGTTCAACGTCTTTCCTTGCAGCTTCCTGGTGTTTTGCGAATAAACGATCCTGACGAGTTTGTGTTAAAGTGAGCCCATCTAGGGTAGATTCCATCAGTAAGATAATACCCATTCGTATAATGATGACCATTGACTACGAAGTTCACAGGAGGTGTTCGACCCTCTAAGACGTCTTCGAACACAGGGGATCGATGACATGGGCTATGAAAATGGGAAAGTGGAAAAGATCACATGGGCTATGAAAATGGGAAAGTGGAAAAGATCCATTTTACTGATTAATTGATAAAGTACAAACATAAGGAAATGAGTACAAGAGGTTGAACTGGAATTGAAAACTTATCACTACTGAAAATGAAGAACAACAAAGGAATTGAACACACTTAACTACAATAAAAATAAAGGACACTAAGCATCATTATTGAAACGTTGAATATTGTTCCGAAGTATTACTATCATTTCGTCTTCCCACTGTTCTCGGTTTACTTTCTGTTCTAGACGAGATAGTTGCTCCCAGTTGATCCTATATTGCTCTAGCTCAATTTTCCGTTGTTTCCTTGCCTCCTTGCGCTCCTGTATTTCAAGTCTCTTCAATTCTGCTTCGTTTGACACATTCATCGAATCCCCAAGTAGCTGCAATCGGCTGTTGAATGTTTCTAATTCCTTAAATGCTTGACTTAATGGAGCTTTACCCTTCAATCTCGACTTAGCCTTTTTAATACCTTCAGCACGAGCTACTCTCTCATCACCGACACCCACGCTGGTTGGTGTGGTAGGTGAGGAATTGTCACCCTCATCCTGTGTCCTCTTCCCACTACTTTCGCTCCCTACAGACTCATCCGTCAGTAAAGTTGAATGTGGACGTCCCACCGAAGGCTTGAATGTTTGTTGGTCCAAGAAACACCGGAATTTGTCCCACTTCCTTAATTGGATCCATTCCTCGTAGAAGGTGAATCGTCCGAATGAGTTCTCATGGATTTTGTGGGCCTCTTGGATAACATCATCTTCGTTATAGCCACTTCCCTTTCGCTTCCGGGCCTTATCATAGCTTCCGCACCACTTTAACACGGCTTCAGAGATTCGCATCCACCTTCCCTTCAAACTACTAATAGTTCGTAGGGATATTTCATCTGCATTCGATTCCCTGGCAGCATCGTATGCGTCCAAGACTCTCTTCCAAAATACACCCTTCTTTTGAACCACTAACACGAAATTCCGGAGTTGATTGGAGTGGTTGCTGTAACATTTGAGTGAAGTTTTGATGGGGAGAAGGAGTTTCATTTCCCTCACCATCATCCTCGCATTCTTCATTTGCCTCATCTTCTTCAGATAAGACATTGCTCGATTCCCAAATATTGGGATTCGGTTGTTGTGACGGAAAATAACCAGATACAGCACCATATTCACCGTAACCCATTGGTATCATGGATGGATGTGGGAAATTTGAACTGCTTTGAGAAAAATTAAAATTTTGAGGGAAATTTGGTGGATTATTTGGGAAACTTGACTGGGGTATTTGAGGATAAACTCCAGAAAAATTATGGGGAATATTTGTAGGTGTTTGTGAAAAATTTGGGTGAATTGGAGGAAAATTGGCTTGATTCGGGATCATATTTTGACCCAATTTTTTTTTTCTTCTTTCTATTTGTTTTGGGGTTGGTATTAGCATCCATAATTATAATTTATATTTGGAAAAAATAAAAATTTAATAATAATAATAATAATAAAACAATAATAAAAATAATAATAACGATAATAATAATAATATTAACGATAATAATAATAATAATAATAATAATAACGATAATAATAATAATAATAACGATAATAATAAAAATAAAAAAATAAATAATAATAACGATAATAATAAAAATAATAGTAACGATAATAATAATATTAATGATAATAATTAAAAATAATAATAACAATAATAATATTAATATTGGTATAAATAATAATAATATTGGTAATTATAGAGGGGATTTTTGAAGAGAAAAATATAGTAGAAAAAAATGAATTTTCAAAGTTGAAAAAAGTATATCAATATGGGTGTCTATTTATAGAGGGGGAAAAAATAGAGTCGTTGGTAATTTTTTTTTTTATTTGTATTTTGTAAAATATATCCGTTGTAAAATTACAACGGATATATTTAAAACAGTACACACGTGTCAAGCAGCGGCTGGGCCAAGTGGCGCGCTCCCAGCCGCTGATTTATATTTTTTTTTTCTGACCTTTAACAGCAAAACGACGTCGTTTTGCAACATGAAACAGCAAAACGACGTCATTTTGCATGAATATCAGTCCAAAATATTGGTGGGGCCCACAGCGAATTAATTCATGCAAGTGCTTGCTCCTGCAATCGAACCCATGACCACTCAACATGAACAATTAAAGAGTTTGCCATTAAGCCGCCACCTTATTTGTTCACTCATTGTGAACTATTAAAATGTTCACCCTTAAAGATGCTCTAAATCCGAACTATACCCGAAATTATATGGTCCGATTAAGGACCACCTTACCCCTTGAAAAACAACCGGAAGTTTTTTTTTTTTTTTAAGAGGGAGAGTATTTTTTGCAAAAGATACCAATTTAAATTGGTATCTAAAACTTAGCAACTCTAAAAAAAAGTTGTTAAGTTTAGATACCCAATTTTGATTCTCATTTGATAAAAAGTGTGGACCCCTTATCAATATTATAATATATTTTGTAATTTATTTAAATTTAAATTTTTATTTTTTTTTTAAAAAAAACTTACAATATGGATTTAGTGGGCCATAAATTAAAAGTTACATTAGTATGCTTTAGAGAGTCTCACTATTGGAAAATTAGACTTCACGTGAGTTGCTATATCAAAAAGTGGGTTGGGTATCATCATTAGAGGTAAAAAAAAAAAAAAAAAAAAACACATTTTGTATTTCAAAACTCAAAGTTAAATCTCAGGAAAAGCTAGGGGTACCAAAGGTGTACAAAAAAAAAAACTGTACACCCCCAATTAAAAGTTGCCACGTCATAATGCAATGGAGGGAAATGAAAAAAAAAAACAAAGGGAGTGTTAAGCGGGAATATCTTTCGGTGTTTAGCGGAATAGCTTCAGTTTAGGCAGGATAATTATCATTAGGCGGGATTAATTTCAGTTAGGCGCCAACATTAGCCTAAGCAACTAATGATAACACAGACTAAAAAAAAAACCTTCTTGAAATTCATCGTCTTCTTCCCCAAAGTAAGATCAGAGAAAAAGATGAAGAACACTTAAATTTTCTGAAAACAAATTGTTAGAGAAGCAATTTTTGTTTGCGCGAGCAAGATAGGTATGTATCGTTGTTTTTGTTATTTGGTTATGTCTTGATTTTATCCCCAAAAATTGAAATTTACATATTTTTTACAATCTAGGGTTTCAAGGATTTGTATTATAATTTATAATGTTATATATTTTAAAAAGCTAGAATTGATTTGTGAAATTAATTCGTTTTGTTTGATTAATATTCGATTCATTATCTAAGTTTTGTACCCAATTAGTAATATTAAACCTTATAATTCCTCTTTGTTTAATGTCGTACTTTTGTAGAAATAAGAATAATGTTTAATAGTATTTTTGTAAACGCTCTTATTTTTTATGTCTAGTTTTTTTTTTAATAGCATCTGAAATATATTTAAAGAATCTAAATTCATCAGTTATGTATGAAATGTTGGCAGTGAAATGGTCAGCGAAAATCAGTCATCCTATGTCAATATTGACCTCAATCAAGTGGTCCAAGATGTATTACTCTCATCCCGTGTCCTCTTCCCACTACTTCCGCTCCCTACAGACTCATCCGTCAGTGGAGTTGAATGTGGACGTCCCACCGAAGGCTTGAATGTTTGTTGGTCCAAGAAAGACCGGAATTTGTCCCACTTCCTTAATTGGATCCATTCCTCGTAGAAGGTGAATCGTCCGAATGAGTTCTCATGGATTTTGTGGGCCTCTTGGATAACATCATCTTCGTTATAGCCACTTCCCTTTCGCTTCCGGGCCTTATCATAGCTTCCGCACCACTTTAACACGGCTTCAGAGATTCGCATCCACCTTCCCTTCAAACTACTAATAGTTCGTAGGGATATTTCATCTGCATTCGATTCCTTGGCAGCATCGTATGCGTCCAAGACTCTCTTCCAAAATACACCCTTCTTTTGATTTGTGCCGGTAATTATGTCGGTGCCGGTGTTCATGTAGCCGGATATAAGAGCCGCAGTTTCTGATCGCGACCAACCTCTATTGTTTGAACCACTAACACGAAATTCCGGAGTTGATTGGAGTGGTTGCTGTAACATTTGAGTGAAGTTTTGATGGGGAGAAGGAGTTTCATTTCCCTCACCATCATCCTCGCATTCTTCATTTGCCTCATCTTCTTCAGATAAGACATTGCTCGATTCCCAAATATTGGGATTCGGTTGTTGTGACGGAAAATAACCAGATGCAGCACCATATTCACCGTAACTCATTGGTATCATGGATGGATGTGGGAAATTTGAACTGCTTTGAGAAAAATTAAAATTTTGAGGGAAATTTGGTGGATTATTTGGGAAACTTAACTGGGGTATTTGAGGATAAACTCCAGAAAAATTATGGGGAATATTTGTAGGTGTTTGTGAAAAATTTGGGTGAATTGGAGGAAAATTGGCTCGATTCGGGATCATATTTTGACCCAATTTTTTTTTTCTTCTTTCTATTTGTTTTGGGGTTGGTATTAGCATCCATAATTATAATTTATATTTGGAAAAAATAAAAATTTAATAATAATAATAATAATAATAATAAAAACAATAATAAAAATAATAATAACGATAATAATAATAATAATAACGATAATAATAATAATAATAATAATAATAATAACGATAATAATAATAATAATAACGATAATAATAAAAATAATAAAAATAATAATAATAATAACGATAATAATAAAAATAATAGTAACGATAATAATAATATTAATGATAATAATTAAAAATAATAATAACAATAATAATATTAATATTGGTATAAATAATAATAATATTGGTAATTATAGAGGGGATTTTTGAAGAGAAAAATATAGTAGAAAAAAATGAATTTTCAAAGTTGAAAAAAGTATATCAATATGGGTGTCTATTTATAGAGAGGAAAAAAATAGAGTCGTTGGTAATTTTTTTTTTTTTATTTGTATTTTGTAAAATATATCCGTTGTAAAATTACAACGGATATATTTAAAACAGTACACACGTGTCAAGCAGCAGCTGGGCCAAGTGGCGCGCTCCCAGCCGCTGATTTATATTTTTTTTTCTGACCTTTAACAGCAAAACGACGTCGTTTTGCATGAATATCAGTCCAAAATATTGGTGGGGCCCACAGCAAATTAATTCATGCAAGTGCTTGCTCCTGCAATCGAACCCATGACCACTCAACATGAACAATTAAAGAGTTTGCCATTAAGCCACCACCTTATTTGTTCACTCATTGTGAACTATTAAAATGTTCACCCTTAAAGATGCTCTAAATCCGAACTATACCCGAAATTATATGGTCCGATTAAGGACCACCTTACCCCTTGAAAAACAACCGGAAGTTTTTTTTTTTTTAAGAGGGAGAGTATTTTTTGCAAAAGATACCAATTTAAATTGGTATCTAAAACTTAGCAACTCTAAAAAAAAGTTGTTAAGTTTAGATACCCAATTTTGATTCTCATTTGATAAAAAGTGTGGACCCCTTATCAATATTATAATATATTTTGTAATTTATTTAAATTTAAATTTTTATTTTTTTTAAAAAAAACAAACTTACAATATGGATTTAGTGGGCCATAAATTAAAAGTGACATTAGTATGCTTTAGAGAGTCTCACTATTGGAAAATTAGACTTCACGTGAGTTGCTATATCAAAAAGTGGGTTGGGTATCATCATTAGAGGTAAAAAAAAAAAAAAAAAAAAACACATTTTGTATTTCAAAACTCAAAGTTAAATCTCAGGAAAAGCTAGGGGTACCAAAGGTGTACAAAAAAAAAACTGTACACCCCCAATTAAAAGTTGCCACGTCATAATGCAATGGAGGGAAATGAAAAAAAAACAAAGGGAGTGTTAAGCGGGAATATCTTTCGGTGTTTAGCGGAATAGCTTCAGTTTAGGCAGGATAATTATCATTAGGCGGGATTAATTTCAGTTAGGCGCCAACATTAGCCTAAGCAACTAATGATAATACAGACTAAAAAAAAAAAACCTTCTTGAAATTCATCGTCTTCTTCCCCAAAGTAAGATCAGAGAAAAAGATGAAGAACACTTAAATTTTCTGAAAACAAATTGTTAGAGAAGCAATTTTTGTTTGCGCGAGCAAGATAGGTATGTATCGTTGTTTTTGTTATTTGGTTATGTCTTGATTTTATCCCCA